AGCTTAAATCTCATAACATTATTACATTTACATTATATTTTATTATTTTTATTATATTGACCTTTCAGCCGTGCCTGGCCAAAAATACAGAAATTACAATGGTGTGCTGCATGTGCACTCATGTTACCGTATCCAATAATATAAAACTGACCTTTAGCCTTTACAAAGTGACCAGTCTTTGCTGTGTTTTAGAGGACTACTATTTTGTAAAATACAGTCACATTTCAATTAATATACATTATATATGTATGAAGATTATTACTATTTACAAACAAGTTCTTGTACTTATTTTTCTTAAAATATAAAATAGTAAATAAAGAAGTAAAGCAAACAATTATCTCTTCTAGCTATGACCTTTGCATTTGGTTGCTGCTTGTCATAGTTTGCTAAGCCTTAAGAAATTTGCACGTGGAGGATGTGAAATGAAATAATTTTTAGGTTTTATATATATACATTTGAATAGCCAAAAAAAATCATAAATGACTAATATTGATATGATAGAACTCAATTATAATTTATCAACTTTAGTAACTAAGCCATATTTGAGTCTAAAAAAATATGAAGTTTCGAGCAGACTAAAGACTCGACTTACCTCTATGCCATCCTTTATCAAAGAAAGATATAACAACTTTATATTTGAAAATGGCTGAGAAAGCCAATAGAGGATTCAAATTTGATGACGAGGAACCCACTTTCAGACTAATAATGGCTGGAGACGGCTTGAATGGGTAATGAAGAAAAACTTTAATATAAGTTTAACATAACAGCAAATGTACAACGTTTCGACAAGGTTTTGTTCTGATGATAACAACAAAAGCTGCAGTTTTTAATTCTTGTTTTAGATGTTTCTTTGTGAAATAAGGAAATAATACTTATATAACATAAAACTTTGAATTATAAAGTACTTGATAATATTAATTTCCTTAAATACATTGACAGTAAAGTGGTTTAATTACAATTTGAATGTAATATAGTACTATACGCACAAAGGAATTTAAAAATGGCTCCGGAAACTATAAGGGCTAAGTGGACAAAATATTGGCTAGGCATTAGGAAAGACTTGAGAATCCAACCAACACGAGCTGCTTCTGTCAATAACAAATGAGTGTTGAGAAGACTCCAGTTTGAAATGAGCTAACAGGAGCCAGTCATCCATATAGTGGTGGAAGCGCAACCATCAAGCACATATAAGTTGGGTGATGGATTTGACTACTTGACAAAAGACCTACAATGCTGAAGTAATTCCGAAAAGCAAGCTGCAAAATTGATACACAACCCCATAGCGGACAAACCGAAGGTAGCACTGGGACTAATAATAAATAGGAATATGTAGATAAGCATTCAAGACGTTTACTTTGGTCATCCACAAACCTTGAGAAAAAGTCCACCAAAGTGTGCGAAAGGATTCCATAGTAAAGCAGGGAAGATCCAGAGACTGGTTGAAGTGGAACAGATCGATCATAGGACACCAGTCCCCAGTTTTCTTAGAGATGACAAAAAGCCTGGGAAAGGGTCGACAGCTCGCTAAGAGAGAAAAGTCTGCATAGCCTCAGATAGATGCTGACTGGTAGCGAGATCCTGAGGGAACATAAAGGATATAGATACAGGAAACAATGGAGGAGGGGGAAAGAAAGTGAATAAAAAGTGAATCTGACAAAACCTAGATCACCCATGGATTGGGAGTGAGCTCTTGTCACTGGTAAACAAAATTGGCCAAATGTGCCCACACTGGAAACCACCTGATTGTAACCAGAACTGCTGGTGATGACGATCCCAACATTGAGACATGCGACACAACATTGAACCCCTAGTGGTAGAAACTGGCAAAGAACAGGATGGAAAACGGGTATGGGAGAGGGCATGCTAGTGGGATAAGACAAATGAGGAACCAAAGAAGAAAGAGTTGAGTGTTGTCCCACAGATTCCACACATGACTCCAAAACCTCAGAAATATCTCCAAAGACAGACCAACAGAGAAAAGGAGCCATTTGTCAGCCCCACACACTGGCAAAAGCGACTCCAGCTGCTGGGAGTCGAGAAAAGGTTGATCACCCTGATGATAAGTCAAAGCCCATGGAGGATGAGGCATGCTAGCTCCAGCCTTCAACTGAGAAACAAAATGTTCAGCATGTACCCTGATATTAGGTAAACGAGGGAAAACAATGTATTCTAATAATAGTACCATGTAACAAGAAAGGAACAGGATCATATGAAATGGCTGAGGGATGCCTGGCAGATTCTACAGGGGAGGCTTGGGAAAACATGGCATAATGAGGTGGGGGTAAAATGCTATCAAAATCCTCATAATCACAAACAGATTTGGACAATATAGGAGGAACCTGAACACTATCGGGAGAAGGTCAACTCATATAAAGATCAATCTCTCGATGAATGATGGCAAAAAAATCCTCTGCCAAGACCCCTCCAAAATGAAGCCTGTGTTACAACATTCAAAGTAGTGGAAAGAGGAATCAGAAGTCATAACACAAACTTCAGAATTCATAGTCAACTGTGAATAACTTAAAAAGATGAAAAAAACTAACAAAGTTAATGTGGCAAAAAAACTACAGAACACTAACTGTAGCAAAATAATAATAAATATTATAGCAATATTTTGCAAAAAACAATAAATTAATACATAAAAAGAGCACAACTGAAAATGTCTGCACTCAACAACTACCTCATGAGAACTGACAGTTTGTAAAATTGACTAGAGGGAGTCATATAAGTTGGGAGGGTGTGTCATGCTCTTGTTGGTGGAGGGTTGTCCCATGGCATGCTACAATCCTTTTGCAAACAGAGGGCATCACTGAACGAGAATAGATACCATATTGAAAAATCACATTTGAAGACTTTTGGTTTTCTACCTCAACTGCTTCTATTATAAACAGCACTAGTTTCATGAACTCTATTTTTCATAACATTCTTACTGAAACATGAATGTTCGCCTCAAACTGTTATACGAAGTAGCCTTCGCTAGCCAAAGCTTTGAGTTCTACACATTTATAAAGCAACACTTCTGTCCTGGGAACCAAGATTGCATTTACCACAATATTGGGAGTAGTTCAACAGCTTGTACCTTTATATGTATTATATTGTTGTGGTAGGCTGATTGGTTAGGTGAAAGCCAATCATGGTGCAAACTATCAATACAAGTGCATCTGACTTACATGCAATAGAAAGGGTGTAAATGCTTAATATTTGAGCTTTATATCCATTTCATTCATTATTTCCATAATTACTTCCAATACTGTACAACACTGAAGAAATCAATAAACTTCTTCAGGCACTAAAAATTAATGTTGACAGTTAGGTTGTTATTGTTTATATCTTTACTGGTATAGTTTGTTATGTAGAATGCAAGTATATTTATAAGGCTTAATGTTGGCATGTAGAAATACTTAACAATAATTCACACTACAGCATTTGTTATGACTTTAACCCTCTACCTAGTGTAGCAGCTATTCCACCATACCTCCTGCAGCTTTTGTGTCAGTTCCTGGACTTGTTGTGCATATTCTTCTTGCTTTTGGACAGCCTACATTTAGTAAAAGAACAGATGTCATTTGAAAAAATGTTGTTCAAAACAATATAATCTCCCCCTCTCATTAGCAGAGAATATGTATTCTATAGAATTCTTCCTTCTCCCGAAGAATGCAAAACTTAGACTCAGAAAAACAGAAAATGTACTGTAATATTTTAAAATTCACTTTGAGATAACACTTGTCTTAATAGATCATTACTTTTCAAACTTGCTATGACTATTTTTTGTGACTAATTAGCAAATGTTTTTTTGAGATCCCTATTGAAAATACTAAAATATAAAAACCTATAACTAAAATTTTTTAGCTTTAATGTTTATTAATATTTTCAATTTTTCAAACTACAATTATGTCCATGAACCTAATTTACAATCAACATATTACTGCAATGATCAAAATGTAAATTTGAAATGAAAAAAAAAAGAGCTATAAAAATTGAAATAAGACTTATATTGTTATACTCAGAAATGTTAATCTGTTTCATATCAAAAACTCAGAAAGCATAAAAGTAAAATACCACCAAAATAAAGGAAAAATACATAAAATGTTGTTGTAATGTTTAAGGGAAAAAATAAATATTTCCCTACATATCAATGAGTACAATACACACACATATCACAATTTAAGAGTATTAGATTTTATAAAGCAAACATATTTAAAAAACATCAAACAATACTGAAATTAACAAACTTAAAATACTTCAAGTAAATTTAAATTCAAAGTATCACTATAAACTTTACAGGAGTCAACTAAAATTCTAATTACAATAACAATTTCATAATAAACAACATCTGAATTACAAATAATGTCATGCACACACACACACATTAGTCAGTTTTTAGCTTATATAATAAAAAGTTTGAGTTTTTTGTAATTTCTCTAATGCATCCACGAAAATCATAAATGTAACAATTTTAATCAAATTTGCAATCATGAAGTATAAGAAATGCCTGATGACAAATTTATTAATTTTAATAACATTTACATAAACTGATGTTGGAAGACATAGGTATGCTGTTTTCATTCAAATAAGAAGTGAAAACAATTACAATAACATAGCTACATACTTCATACAATTTTCAATTGTTCTGCACACTTTCCACTAAAGCTATGTGCCCCCCCCCCAAAAAAAAAAAAACACAAGTAGAAAACCAATTGTTCTAAACAAGAAAGAAAACTTACCTGTTCTTCATTAACTTCTACAGACTTCAGGTTATGTCCAGTTGTTTGCAATTCCTTTTCAAGTTCTGAAATCTTACTGTAGAAAAGAAAATCAACTACTCTATTTCCAAATGATTGATGTAAAAGACAGTTTTGAGATACACAATATTTTAATGGATTATTTCCGGTTAGCCATTTTATCAAGGTAATTTTATTTTTCAGTAATGTCACAAAATAAAGAATAACATATTTTTAAACTTTGGGAACATAATAATAATAATTTCATCAAAATAATGCAATTAATTTTTTTCCATAAGAGAAAAACCAAAAAAAACAAAAAAAGCATAGACTTTCATGAACTTGGCAAGCTGTGAGATAATAAAAAAACATACAATTCAGGACTTACTATACAGAGAAGTGATAAAAAAATTATACAACTATGCACAGATTTTAAATTTTAAAATGTAGCTTATAAAACTAAAACGATTTAGTCTTACTGTGTAATGTTTAATGACAATTTGAAAGAGATTAAAACTGTATTCAAGTTTTCTTTTAACCAATGCACAAGTTCCAATTTCACTCCTACAGTAAAACCAAATTTCCTCAAAATGTACAAACGACTAGCAAGTCTAAGCTTTTACAACCTCTAAAATAAACTAAAAAACTATTAAATAAATTTTAAAAAAATCTTAAAGCCAGTCCTTATCATTCATATAGTTATTAATCTTTCTCTTAAACTCGCTGCCTCCACAACATCCGAAGGCAACTCATTCCATAGGTAGACCAAACTGTTAAAAAAATAAAAATGTCTTATCTGAAGATAACTCCTTTCTAAAAATTTATATTTATGTTCCCTAGTCCTACTATTCTCACCTTTATGTATGAAAAAAGATGATGCATCAACACTATCAATTCTCTTTGAAATCTTAAACACCTCAATCAGATCCCTACTAACTCTTCTTTTTTCAAGTAAAAACAATTTAAGAGATTTTAATCTCTCCTCATATGATAATCCCTCCATCCCAGGCACCATTCTTGTGACCCTCCTCTGAACCATTTTCAACAATTCAATATCCTTCCTAAGGTAAGGAGCACAAGACTAAACACAATACTCCGAATATGGCCTAACCTGTGACCCATACAATAAATTTTAACCTTTTTAGACTTGTGTTCAATATTTCTGTAGATACAACCTAAAATCATATTTGCCCTACCACTTGCAACAGCATACTGTTTGGCTGTATTAAGAGACTGAACAACCATTACACCAAGACCCCTTTCTTTCATGACATTGTTAGGGATATCAAATTATGATAACCCACGTGCATTAGCTTACATGTATTACAATTAAAACCCATTTGCCCAACTCACTAAATAATCTAAATCCTTGTGTAAAGCAGCAGCATCCTCTTCACAACTAGAAACACACAATACCTTAATATCATCAGCAAATTTAAGTAATTTATTGACCATTCCTTCATCTATATCATTGATGTAAATTGAAAAGAGCAAAGGTCCTAAGACTGAGCCTTGGGGTACCCCACTTTTACATCAATCTAGTTTGACTGAACTACATTTATTACGACCCTCTGCTTTTTTCCATCCAGCCACTTTTCTATCCAATTAGCAAACTTGTCCCCCACACCTATAAATATAAATTTTTACAAACCTTTTATGTGGCACCTTGTCAAATGCTTTTTGAAAATCCAGATACACCAAATTTATACCTTTACTCTCATCTACAATAAGCAGTAACCTTTTCAAAAAATGTCAAAAGATTTGAAATACAAGATTTTCCTTTTGTGAAACCATGTTGACTATCCAATAAAATTCTAAAATTTGTTAACTGGCTTTCCAAAGCATCTTTTATGAGACTTTCCAAACCTTGTCCCACAGTTGATGTAACACTAATGGGCCTATAATTACTTGGACAATTTTTATTACCTCCCTTGAAAAAAGGAGCAACATTAGCTAACTTCCAATCCTTTGGCACCTGTCCGCTATTCAAAAATTTCCAAAAAATTGTATTAAGTGGCTCACATATCCAATCTTTAATCTCCTTCAAAACCTGTGGGGAAATATTATCTGACCCAGGAACCTTATCATTCTTTAAACTTCCCAATTTTTTCTTAACAAGCTCAGAATTAATGCAATCATTGTCAGATATACAAGATTGTTTAGTTTAAGAGTTATTATTTAGTTTATTTAGTGATTTAATATTTAATGACTATTTAGTTTTCATAACAAGAGTGTCAAAAGTTAATTATTTTAAAAGCAATAGTTGTGACAAGTTTCTTTACATAACATGGTATGAGTCATCCATCGTGTATGCAGTTTAATCATTGAATTAGGCTTTAGTAAAATATTGTTGATGTCATCTTACTTGAAGCTTCTGTATTTTTCTTGTTCCTTTAAGTGAGTATTGTTACATCATAGCATCTGGTAGTTTGTAGAAATTTCTAGGTCCCAGTTGGCAATGTACATATATATAGGCAACCAAGTGAGTGCAGCTAAGTTATTGAAACTGAAGTTAGACTGTGTAATTGTTAGCTTAGCTGTAACAGGCAATATTTAAAGTGAGTTTCACAGTGGTATTATAAAAAAGAGGCAAAGGGGAATAATTTGACTTGTCAAAAGGTGTCCAAAATTAACTGAACCTGCTTGTGTAGACTCTGATGAAAAGGAGACAATTATATGAAGTTCTGAATACAACTGTGGCAACTAAGGGGGTAACATATGTGAATTTATAGCAGATTGTATAGTAAGAAACAGAGTATATAAAAATAATTCATCTTGTCAATTGGGTTCTAAGGTAACTGAACCAGCCTGTGTGGACTTTTGACGAGAAAAGAGAATTATTTAAAGTTTTTAGATACAATTGTGATATCCTATATTGTGAAGAATACTTGTACATACGTTTGACTTATTTTGAATATATTATCTTAATACAAGTAGATGGAATGCTGTCCATTTATCATTCAGATTTATCACCAACAAGTCACAGACACCCACTGTAAAGAATTTGGCCACATAAACCTGACAATCATCTTGTTAGATTTGTTTCCATCTATTAACTGTTCAAAATGAGGAATATTGTTTAAATCTTCATAAGTAAAAACTTAAAAAAAATCAAAATTTATTAACCCAGCCATCTCATAATAATCAGATACAAGCCTTCCTTTATCATCGTCCAAGGGTTTTACCCCCATCCTAACATTTTGCTTACCCTTAATGTATTTAAAGAAATCATTACTTTTAATTTTTACATGTTTAGCCAACCTTTTTTCATAATCTTTTTTGATGTCCTAATTTCTTGTTTGACCAACTTTCTTGATCTTCTTTAATCTTCTAAATTTACCATCATATCAATAAATTTAAATTTCTTAAACTTGTGATGCTTTTTCTTTAATTTTCTCTCTTTTACACTTTGTGAGCCAATCTGGTTTTTTTACTTGCAGACACCCTTTTCTTTCTATAAGGAATATGTTTATTTTGAATATTTAAAAATTTTCCACATTTGATCAGTGTCTCTAAATAACTGCCCAATTCATAAAAGATAATTCTTGTTGTATCCCTTCAAAATTTGCTTTTATTCAACTTGTAACAAAAATATCATTATTCCTTATCTCCATATGCAGCAAAACATTGAACTTAATAAAGCAATGATCACTTGCACCCAGATGTTCCCCAATTTTCACCATCTCAACAATTTCTATATTTACAGTTAAGAATAAATTTTAAAAAGCATTGTTTTTAGTAAGTTCCTTGGTGAAGAAAACCTTCTAGAACAATATCCAAAAACCTTTTCCTCTCATGGTTTAACTCTAGCATTTCCCAATCTATATGCCTGAAATTAAGATTGCCAATATTTATAACCTGATTAACAGCAGAATTCTTAAGCTCATTGTAAAGTTTCTCACTAATTTCATCAGTATCATTTGGTGGTCTGTAACAAATTCCCACTAAAAGCCTTTTCCCTTTATTTCCACTAATAGAAACCCACAAAGATTCAATCTCTTTGCTATTATCTTTGATATCCTCAACTTCGACGGGATGTAACTCACATTTTACATATAAGCCACTTCTCCTCTCTTAATACTCTATTCCTATTAAGATACCTATAACCCCATATTTCAAAGAAATTTCTGTCATCAAAATCATCCACATTTAACCATGTTTCAGTTTTTCCCACTATATGAAAATCCTCCATTTCTACTAGTGCCCTAAAGTCATCTATTTTATTTCTTACAATTCAAGCATTACAATAGTAACAATTAAGCCTTTCCTTAGAACTATTTCTATACTCATTTCCTATGATAACATTTCTCTAAATTTTTTCTTTTGTATTCAGTTTATCCTGGCTCTCACCATTGTATAGTACTAGTTTAAAATTTCCTTTACAGTTGAGTTAATAGCCCATGCAAACAAGCCAGACCCTACGCTATTTAGATTACAATCCATTCCAAAAAGCTCCTTTCTCCCATTGAACTGATCCCACAAGTCCAAACAGCCAATCTGCTCATACTTACATACTAATCCAAACCTAGCAGTTAGTCCTAGTGACCTACTTGTAACTTCATCCCCACAATTAATTCTTGGCACTATCCCTGACATAATTAAGTTATGGCCTTTTTCCTTAAATGACTTTATCAACCCCTTGAACTTATTGATTACCTCATCTGATGAGGGGCAGATTGGAAGTCTAAAACGGCCCAGGCAAATACTCAAAAACTAGGATGATATATATATATATTGTTATGACAGTGGAAGTCACATGACGTTGGTAAAATGTAATGAGTATCTAGAAGGTTCGCGAAAAACGCTAGTGCGTGCTATGCACACATTTGTGTTACGACAGTGGAAGTCAAGTGATGCTGGTAGCACGTGATGAGTGTCTAGAAGATTCTTGAAGAGACTACGCGGGCGCTATTATCGTACATAAGTGCACTAGACAAAAGAGAGAGAGGGAGAGTGTGGAACCAAGGACAGCAGTTAGGGTCGGTGGGAACCGAGGATAGCAGATACAGAGATCGGAACTATAGTTGCTGACAGGCGGAGATAGAGATGGACAATTAAGTCAAGCGTGGTAGTAAAGTGAGTGAATTGTTGTGAATTATAGCTTGTGTTTAAGTTAAATCAACTGTGGAAATTAAGTGTATTGCAAAGTTGTATT